CGCGGGAAGATCCGGTCCCCCCTCCCTTCTCCCCCTCCCCGCAGAGGTGCGGGCGGGGCTGCAAACCCCCCCATAGACCACAGACACGAAACAAAACGAGAGGTGCCAACCCCCCCGTGCTGCCGGTGCGCGCTGTCGGGGCTGCAGCGGGGGGAGGGGGGCTGAGCCGGGGGAACAGCACCTGCCCCAGCGGGACGGGAAGCATCGCTATCATCGGCTCCCGCGTTCTTGCTGGTATTTTTTCCCAATTGCAACGAATGTATCGCAGCGTCATCCCCGGTGTCAGACGGCAGCGGGTTCCTCTCACTCCCCGGTGTTTTGAGGGAGCCGTAGGCAGGAGGCGGAGGAGCGGTACCGAAGACCGCATCTTTTGTCCCTACAGCCGTGATACAGCCGAAGGTGAGAGGTACCGACCGGGTCGGCTGGAACCGGAGGCTCAGAGGGGAAAGAGAATTACACAGAGCTGCACTGCAGGAGGCAAAAAACGGCGTTTATTTTGCGGCATTCAGCATCTCCCCAAGCCGGCTCCGGGGCCGGCAGCGCTGCTGCATTCGGCCGCAAACCTGCCTCCCCCCTCCCTCACCCGGCTGTGGGGGCTGCGATGAGGCTGGGAGGGCTCCCGGGCCGGGGGGGCGGCTCAGGAGGCACAGGGCTGGGGGGGCTTAGAGGATGAGAGGGTCTCGGCTGGGATGGAAAATGAAGGGAGCTCGTGGATGGGGTGGAGCCGTGCCCGCTCGTAGCTTGCGTGCCAACCCCCGCCCCCCTCCAATAGCTGCCTGAGCCCGGGGCACCTCCTCACCCCGCACCCCTGCGGTGGGTGGCACAGTCCGGCGTGATCCATCCGTACCGAAATGGGACACAACCGTCCGAGTCTCTTTAATTAAATTAGTGCCCGTACAAACACCATAGGGTTTCGTACACGGAATAAATAGCGCGAGTCAAACCTGACGGCTTTCCCGCAGCCCTAGGGGGCGGCCCGGCCTCCCGAGGTCCTGCGGGGCCCGTCCCCCTCGGAACCCGGCGAGGCGGAGCGGCTGGGAGGGCTGCGCGGCCGCCTTCCCCCCCCGGCCTGGCAGACGTACCACTCGCTGAGGTCGGTGACCGGAGGGGACAGGGCGGCCGCGCGGGTGCGGGGCGGCTCGGGTGGGAGCTCGGCGCCGGGGGGCAAAGGGCCGTCGGGGGATCCCGGCGCGGCGTAGCCCGGGGGGGCGGGCGGAGGAGAAGGAGGAGGCGATTTGCAGTGGATCTTCATGTGCTTGCGCAGGGAGCTGGGATGCGTGTAAGACTTGTCGCAGCCGCGGATCTTGCAGTAGTACGGTTTGTCGCTGGTGTGGACGTGGGAGTGCTTCTTTCTGTCGCTGCTGTTGGCGAACTTCCTGTCGCAGCCGTCGAATTCGCATTTAAAGGGCTTCTCCCCTGCCGGCAAACAGCAAGCTGCTGGTTAAAGCCCGGTCCCGCATTCCCCCCGACCCGGCGGCAGCTCCGTACCGTCATCTACACCCAGCCACCCAGGGATGCTGTGGAGACCAAAAATGAAAACCAAAACCAAAAGAAACATAAAATCCAACCGCTGACCTCCAGGCAGGCCTCCAGCTCGTTTGCTCGCGGCAAACCCTTCATTAGGACTCTAACAACCGAACCCACACAATGCACAGCAGCATAACCTCCTGGAGTGTCGTCCCCGTCCCCG